TTTTTTTTTTTTATTTTCAAAATTTCAACGATTAATGCCTCATATACTATTTGTTATTTAATTTTAGGAATTTTTATGGGTTTTTTATTTTAATTTATCGTATATTGACTACTACAATTGTTTTGACTCAACTGGAGCGAAAGGATTTCCTTAAGAATTTTTTTTCGGTTTTTAATGATATATTAATTTATATATGTATTAATAAAATATATTTGTTATGTTACGGATATTTTTATTATAAGGTCAAAAGACCTAGTTACTGATACTGCAATTTTATTCCAATTAAAAAAATAAAATCTTCTCAAAAAACTAATTATTTTAAAGCTTATAATTCACAAATTATATTTATTAATTTATTGGAGTTGGCTGTTTTTTTTTTTATAAAATAAAATTGCAAGTATCAATAACTAAGACAGTGTCAATAACTGGATCTTTTACTCAATTAAGCTGTAAATAAATATTTACCTTGATAAATTTATAAGATTAACATCACTAGGTCCAGGTTTATTATCAGGAGTAGATGATGGACATTGAACAGCTGACGTTGATGGAAGTGATCGAGGCACCGATAATTCTTCAGAAGGTGTTGGTCTCGTCAGAGTAAACGGCAATTCTGCCTTTAATACTCTGTTAAACAGACTGAAATCAGAATTAATAATAAGAATCAAGATTTATAAATAAATTTAGAAGTATAAAAAAAAAATGGTGTGTGTACTTATTTGTATACAATCCTCGTTCTATTTTTTTATACATATACAAATACATATACTTCTAACTTTAAGAATATACCTATAGAGGGTGGAAACCCCAGAACTAGAGAGCTAATGGGGCACATTTTTCCCCTACTGTTTCAACTACGAGGCTCACCCAAACTCACAGACCCGGAAAACTGTCATCGTATCGCTCTCTCGTGTCCTGATTTTCCTAATAGTAATTTCTTAAATTTGTAGTGAGAAAATTTTAACAATATTTTATAAGAATGAAGTGAGCAAGAATTAAAGCAATAGGAAAATTTGTATCGCCAAAACCAGGTTAGAACTTGACTATTATAAATTTTTATTGAAAATTTGTATTGTATTTTATTTATGCATTTGTGTTTTTTTTTAATTGAATATTATGTTTTGAATATTACAATTTGAATGTATTTACCTAAAAATTTATAATTTTTTATGTATCTATGATTTTGAACCGAGTATATTAAGGAGGTAAGCGTAACTTATGAGTCAAAATAATGTTAAAATTTTTTTTTTTACTTTCAGTCCTCCCAATATTCGTCAAAATTATTTATTTTAATTTAAAATAATTTGAACCATTTAATTATATGCTAAATTAATTTTTATTAAATTTAGAGGTGTGGAATTTTTTTTATTAAAATTTTTTTATAGTTTAGTAATTATAAAAATCTAAAAAATTGACAGGTGTCTGTTAGCTTCACTACCCAAGCGGCCTAAAAATTTTTTTGCTAATGTTTTGTTGCATTCAAATTAACAATTATTAATTTTTGACTTATTGAATAAAATCTTCAATCTAAGTCAAATGTTGAGCGTTTAGGTATGGAGTTAGCGGGAAGTTGCAGGAATGGCCTTTAGGGTCAACCGTTTTCCTAATTTTTTTTGTGATGCTTGGGCATGCACCATTAGAATTCAAAGTTTATTGCCTGAAAGGTATTTTAATACAACCATATTTTTTGCTTTTGTTTGAAACTTGCGAAAATTACAGAAGAAGTTTGAAAAAAATTAAACTAATTTTAATAATATTTATCATTATTATTATTATAGTGAACGAGATTTAAATTATTATTATTGTTGTTAAAATTATTATTTTTTTTTTCCGGGCTAATTGACCCGGGTGGTCAGCGATTTTTTAAAAATTTTTTTTATGATTGCATGATTTATGCAAAAAGGACATTTTTGTTGCTGTACGTCAGCCGCTTCGCTCCGCATCTCGCTGTTACCCTCTTCACCGCGAAGGTTTTCTTACTGGAGCTTCTGACGCTTTCTTCGTCCGGAAATGTTTCATAGCTGTCGTTGACCCACAATTTATCGTTATCTACAATGCACTTTGGTTTTTTCCATTGGATCTGAAAAAAATAAAGAAAAAAAAACCGATTCAAAACACTAATTCTAAGACCGTTAGTAAATAAATGAATGAATGAATAAATGAATGAATTTCTTACCTTAAATTTAAAATTTTTCCATACTACTGGATCTTGAATTTTTTCAGTTATCAAACTTTTTTAATTCGAATTCACATACAAATTTTCAGTAGAACACTTGTCAAATTGTTTAAATAAGTTCTTATTTTGGAGTGGTGACAAAAATTGCAGAGTCTCCTGATTTTCTATCACTTGACCGTTTTGATCCTGGTCGACGTTCTGGTTTGAATCCTCTTTTTTCATATTTACTGTGGTTAATGCACGAGGACACTGATTTAATTCACAACTTGTATCAAATTATATACCTTTGGTCCGTAGTAAATGAACTCCGGATCTATTCTTATTATTTATTTCTAATTTATATTTACTAAAACACTCAATTCATTTTTGTAATGCGATCACTCAGGAAATTATTAGCACTGTAATAGCCTAGACAGATACCTCAAACGATTGAAAGGGACGAATCGAATAATATTATAATCACCAGCTATTTATAGATGGCCTCAAACAATAGTTACTCTAAGAAGGAACCTGATTGGCGAAAAATTTTAGGTTGTAATATTTTCAATTCCTATACTTTTCGGTCATTGTAGAAACTGACCGTAATTGGATAATCTATTAACAACAGCCATGTAAATGGTCATTTTGAATAAAAGACCAACTAAAGTATTTACAAATATTATAACTGAGGCGATTATTTTCAAACTTTTTCCTTTGAAAATCATTGTTATTAAAAAATTAAGAAAATAGTGATTTCACACCGATTTTAGAAAATCAATTTCTCATCAGACCTTCATGTTTGAAGATATGAGTAATCTATTCTGACTATATTAATAAGGATTTTCTGATGTATGTATGTGTTTATATGTGTAAACCTTTTGTAACTTTTCAATAGCTTGACCTATCATAATGCAGTTTACAGAACTTAAAATTTGTACAAAGGATATTCTATAGTGACTGGTGGGAGATTTCACTCTGGAATTCCATTAATTATAAGCTATAATAACGTGACTAAAACTTATATACTACAGTTAAAGTTATCTTATAATATAGAATAACTAATTAACAACATCCCTTTGTCAATAACCTCGATTACTTTTCAAGTTTCTCAATTTCACAATTTTACGATACACAATTTTATAATTATAATATATACTCATTTTAGCTTTCAAAAAAATATTGAATGATAATTTTGATATTCTTGGAATGATAGAAGCTAATTATCATTTATATTTTGCTCAAATGAAAGTCAATAACTCGACTTCTGTATTCAATTCGATGAAAGTTTACTGGGAAACTGAAGAGAAGTAATTTGATCCTTAAATCATGATTGCTAACATAACATCAATCAAATCTGTTAAGAATTGTAAGACAGTGATGAATATTTTGAAATTACATGAAAATTTACACTGAATAATAAAAAATAAACAAAAATGTTATTACTTTTTATCAAAATTTTGTTTTCCTATTTGTCACTTATAAGTTAGAGTACAGAAGTACATAAAAAGGTTATTTTTAAAACTTATAAGATTTTTACACCACTTTTTTTTTCATATAATGATTTTATTGTACTCAAAAAAATTATGATCTTAAGTGAAGAGATCTATAGCTTTGAGTACACACATTTCCAGTTGTGAGAGTTCATAAATAATAATTTACAGTATTTATACACACATATCTGAACATACATTTGTGCGAATGCACTCCAGGCCACTGCAAATACATCTAAGACTTGTAAATACTATACTAAAACATATTATTGGTATTGAAATGCCATATATATTAGATGATGCATACTAAGACTAGTTAAGGTATACTCAGTCACTATATACTTTACATTGTCAACGCTGAACTCATAGTAATACCTACTGAATCTCAGTCTCGGCATGGAAGGATTTTAGGATTAACTAAAAACCCACCCCGTTTAAAGTACTCTACTAGCATCTAAGGTTTTCCTATCTGTGTCGGGATAGTTCAAGAGGACAAGAACGTCTAGCTTGTGAATCAACAGTCGCTTGACATACTCGCAAGGGAAACCATTTTTTTTTTACTTTTTTCAAGCTCGTCTATATCGATAGTTTCTTATTCCTACTCTTTTACATTATTACTTTTTCTCTATTAACATTATATTAAAACAAATAAAAATCAATAAATTAATAATAAAAATTTCTAATTGTCTTTTTTCGGGTGAAAAATTTCTTTTTCTCAAAATTTCATCAACGATAAATCAATTACAAAAATTTAGTAGAATCAGATCGATTAAAAAGTTTTCTAAAGCATTTTAAATGCATCAGACAATTCTGTTTTACTAAAAAAAAATATTAAAAGATTCATAAGGTAAAGTACCCAGTACTTGAACACTTCTAAAAATGGGACCAGTAGTTGAACAGACTTTTAGAATTGCTGTAATACAAAATCTATATATATATATATATATATATATATATATATATTG